AAATGCGAGTCTGTGGGTGCCTACCAAAAAACTAGCACTTTGAAAATCGAAACATTATTTGACGCTCTAAAACTAGAAGTTCTTCAACAATCATATGAGTCGTATTTTCTTTGAAATTCAGCAGTCTAGCAACAATCACTAACTCATGGAACTGAGCCCTTCTTGAGAAGCTGCATTTGTGTAGCTACTGAAGAACTTCCCAGCATTTTTATGGAACCCGAAGGTTCATTACCGTATTCACAAGAGCCTTCCACTGGTCCCTATCCTGAACCAGATCAATCCAATCCATATCATCCCATCCTGTCTCTCCAAGATCCATTTTAATATTGTTCACCTACCGTCTTAATCTTCAAAGTGGTCTCTTTCCTTCTGACTTTCCCACCAATATCCTATATGCATTCCTCTTCTACCATTTCGTGCTACATGTCCTGCCCATCTCATCCGTCTAGCAACACTTAATATGTCAATAGCAGCTTCGTTACCCATTTCTGAATGTAATTTACACTATTTCAGCCACGTCAGGTTTGTAAGATATTTTCTCAAAGCTTGGTATAGTAGCCATATTTTTAATTGTCAGTATATAAATAATATATCTGCACTATGTGTAGGTGTGTTTGTGGGTCAGTCACAGTATTACGTTCCGTACACCTAGCGCCGCATTAAAGCCGACAGCTAATTGTACATTTCGCGCAACCACAATGCTAATGCTTTGCATTGGAAAAAGTCATCTCGCTAAAATTTAAAACTTTTCAAAGACAATGTATGCACCCGACACTGAGTGCCGCTAGTGTCTTTCCCACCACACGAGTACGCACGGCAACCATGTTCGTATTATTGGTGACAGAAAATTAAAAAGCATAAAAATTGAGGGAGGGGTACTTCTACTCGCATATGTTCAGACATTTAATTCGGTTGAATAATTATTAGGGGGAAGAAACACGGACGTGGTTACACCACACGCCCATCTTTCGTCGTCAGAGTGGAAGAGCGGTCTAAACATACTCTTACTTGTATCGGTGTTCTGTCTTCTTGTTACTACTACTACTACTACTACTACTACTACTAGGCGAAGCGCTATTGCGTCCAGCTTGGCACTGAAGACAATCTGCATCAGACAAAGCAGAATCGCGTTGCAAAAAATTCTATGTGAATGAAACCCCCCCACTATCAGGAAAAGTCTGACCAATCCAGCCACACCTTCTGGTACGGCCACGATGTTACACATTATCCCAACAAAACAATGGGAGCGACGGGCGATGCGTACATTTTCCAGAACCAATACCATTAAAACAATCTTCAACAAATTACAATCAATTCCATACTCCTGCCCTCGGGGTACCGAGTGCTCTTTACCCGAGCGGCCGGGAGTTAAAGCTAACCATTCACGTCCAACTACGTTCTGAGGCTAAGAATGCGGGCAGCAATACCCCCATGGCGTAGTTCTTAATTAAACACAAGAGCAATTTGTACCCCGTTTAAAGCGTAAAGGTACTGCTTTGTCTGCATAGCCTACCGCATCGTAATATCACAGGACACTTCTGTAGCAAGTTTGTTAATTTTCATCCATCCTATCTGCATGACCAGGGACATTTATTTATTTTGGAATAAGATAACTTTTACCATTAAGCTTTGAACCTATGCCCAATACCCAATTTGGGGGCTCACTGCCGTTGAAATATTGATAACCGTAATAAGAACGCAACGATGGAACTAGAATGTGTAAAGAGAAAATGTGGTGGGGAGAAGAGCAGTATAACAGAGAGGAGTGTCTTATTGTGAGGAAGGGAGGGGAGTCTAGACCACAAGGGATACAGCACTTCCCCATATTCCGTGCTTGGGGACAAAAATGTGTTATGTGGACTGCGGCTCATGGCTAGGCTTTCATAATTTTTATACATCTGCAGTGTGTCTCATTGATGCGGCGTCCTCTCTGGCTATAGGACCGGTCTGTCCTTTGTTAAAAGCCATAATCTTAGTCCTTGTCCGCTGCACATACTTATATTTTCATGTTTGCATACATTGTACAAAGTAACAATACTTTCAATATTATATTTAAGCATCCTGTTGCACTCTACACGATAAATGATACAAACTCCGTCCTAAGTGCAAACAATATACATTTATATGTCTTTGATCTTGTTCTTTCTACACTACATGTTTCGGCCTCTATCGGCCATCATCAGGTGTATACTCTTAACGTTGCTGCCACACTGAACCCAGTCTAAAACTTAACATTTAAAAACACAATGTCACGTTCTTCGTATTATCAACATCTACATCGTTGATGTGTGTCTGGTATGTAGATTATGTTGCACACGTCAAACTCGATATTCTTGTAGTAGCACTCTAAAAATCTTTAGTTATGATGTTTTTAAAATCTTTTAAAATTTACTCTAAATTTAAAATTTAAAATTTAGAGTAAATTTGCTGTCTGCTGAGCAGACAGCACACGTAGTACAGACAAGCAGCGGCATTCACACAAGAAGACTACATTAAATAACACCTGTACAGTGTGAAAACAAGAACTAGCCGCTCCAGCACTTAGACATAGGGCGAGTAACCCTAAGAATTTTAAATTTTAAATTTAAAATTTAGAGAAAATTTTAAAAGATTTTAAAAACATCATAACTAAAGATTTTTAGAGTGCTACTACAAGAATATCGAGTTTGACGTGTGCAACATAATCTACATACCAGACACATATCAACGATGTAGATGTTGATAATACGAAGAACGTGACATTGTGTTTTTAAATGTTAAGTTTTAGACTGGGTTCAGTGTGGCAGCAACGTTAAGAGTATACACCTGATGATGGCCGATAGAGGCCGAAACATGTAGTGTAGAAAGAACAAGATCAAAGACATATAAATGTATATTGTTTGCACTTAGGACGGAGTTTGTATCATTTAACAATACTTTCGTTTCATTTGCATGCATATGTGCAAATTATACGAGTCCATACTTGTACAGCAGAGTGTATCGTATTTTCCGTACCTTACAACATACGGCGGAGCACGCGGTAGCATATAATTGGTTGAGGCACTATGCTACAAGCCGGAAGGTCGTAGGTTCATATCCTGATGGCGTCATTGGATTTTTCAATTGGCCTAATCCTTCCAGCCGCACTGTGGCCATGGGATCGACTCAACTTCTAACAGAAATGAGTACCAGGAATCTTCACAGGGTGTGAAGGGCGGCCGGCGCGTAAGGCTGACAACGTCACCGGCATCTGTGAGCCGATTGTCTACAGAAAATGTGGAAGCCTCGACGTCTCAAAACCCTATGGGCCTTCACGGACTGTTACAGGGACAGCTTTACCTTTTATAATACACGTCAGCTTAGTCGCTTGAAGACGTTGAGAGAAGAGTCGTGGGTACTTATGAAGCCAGCAGCATGGTACGTCAGCGTCGTGTATGCAATTGGCCCAGGATCTGAGTGATGCTTAGCAGCCTGAGTGTGTGAATGAATTGCTTATTCACATTAAGATGGTAAGGTCTGTAATCAGTTGTGTACAAGGGCCGCGGAATTTGGATTCTTTGATTGATTGAGGGGCATAATCTGAAGATATAATTTGGGAGCGAGGAATTTGGATTCTTTGATTGATTGAGGGGCATAATCTGAAGATATAATTTGGGAGCGAGGAATTTGGATTCTTTGATTGATTGAGGGGCATAATCTGAAGATATAATTTGGGAGCGAGGAATTTGGATTCTTTGATTGATTGAGGGGCATAATCTGAAGATATAACTTTGGAGCCTGAACGCTAAGAGGAAAAGAGAGAGTGATAGAGAGGAGTATGAAGTATAGCAGAAGAGTAGGTGAAAGTGAAAAATCATGGGAGAAGTAAGAAGCTTTATTGTCGAATTGTTTCAACGTATAAAATTCGGTCGGTACGGACCACGCTGAACACACTGCAATGTGTCAGAGAGATATAAATCAATAATGTGAACAGCCCTATGTTACTGCGCATGCGTAAAGGAGCACACATATTTTCCATACCTCAGTGATAATGACAGATACAAGTATCATGGAGCACAGGGTCAGAAAGTGCACACCCGTTTTTTTTTCTCTAAACTTTCATTACATTAAAGAAGTGCTGGGCCGAAGGCAGTGACCGCGGTGTCCAAAGCATGAACTGTCTTCGGGCGCTCAAACACTGGGTTCATGGGTTCGATTCCGCTCGAGGCATGAATGTTTGTGCGCGTTTATTCTGTGTTCGTGTTGTTGTGTGTATAGACAGCGGCCTTGCGACGGGCTGATCCCCTGTCCAAGGAATCTGATAAAGCTCTCAAGGTCCACAAGGGCTAGAGCCATAGATAGATAGAAAAAGTGTGGGAAATAAAAGTTTTAGATCTTAATGGCCAAAAATTCTGCCTTCTGCTAATTTTCTTTATATGCCGATTTGTTTCATGAAATATCCATGTCCGTGTCCAATTCATTACGAAAGTAGGCGATCAGTACGTTACCACGCTAAATTCGCCTAACAGTTTTTAATGTGAACTCAATACGAAATATCCTCAAAATCAATCCAGTATCTTCGGACATTAAACATTCATTCTCCCACAACCTCCCCACTACATACGTTCACTTTATGAAATTTGTTCAAAGACCACATGATAATATTAACTGACCTCTGCTTCATCTACTGATTGGTAGTCTTCAAGGGTTGCAAGTCACTTGTTTGTTTGGAAATCACCCCTTATCACTGCTATGGAAGTTCTGCTTGTGGTCTGCGGGTTTTGGCGTCACCTAACGCGGTAGATCTACTTGTCGTCATGTATATGTAACACAATCCTCTCAGTTTCCGTTTGTTCCTTTTCTAACGAACGAGCACAGCGACCGATTCCTAAAGAAAGGAGAGGAATTACATATACACAGCTCTATGTTAGCTCTCATATCATGTTCTCACTTCCCCTCATTCTCCTGCAAGGATCGCCGTCATTACTGGGGACAGTTTTTAAATGGCTGACTCTACAGAGAAGGATTAGTGCACCGAGTGACTGGCGTGACAGAGGACCGCTTGTGTGTATATGTCTGCTGCCTGGGCATAATACAGCTCACCGGATACAATTTCAAACCCACTTTGGAACTCCACGAGGAAGTATAATTTGAGGAATATTGTGACACTTCTCTGTAGTATCTTGCAATGTAGATAATACCTCATATTTGTAGGTTGAATGGTGTGCTTATTTGGTTAATTAATGTAGCAACGTCTGAACTCATGGACGCTGTATGTGATGATCAAATCTGTGAAACACCTTACTGTCACAGTTGTTTGTAAAAATAGTCAGTGATCAGCAGAGGGAAGAAGTGATGGTTCTTCGGTGTTTTCTTGTCAGATGTTGGACTCATTTCGTAATCGGCTAATGATAACACCATTGACTGAAAGGCACGAGAAAAGTGACTGGCTTCCCCCACCTACAAGCATAACTCCAGGAGAGGTAAGTAAATAGGTATAACGGCACTACAGCGGTTGCCTGAACAGAACTTCGGCGTAGTATTGGCCTAAGTATTGTAAAGAGAAGCTGTGTTTGAAATATGTACTGGCCGGGTGTATCAGTCTTACAGAAATCTTCCACAGTGACCAGGCGTTATTCAGCAGCTGTGTACCAGCACACGCATTGTACTCGTAAAAAGAGTTCGGGTCGAAAACAGCAAGGCGGCAATTTCCTGGCACAGAATTGTACACAGTAGATAGGGGTTTATTTGTAGTTTAGTTTACGAACCTGCCAGTAATTCGAATTGTATACTGTCGAATGATGGATTATAGCGAGTAATGAACTGGAATGGACGTGGAATGAAGCGGTCGTGACCAACCTACTACTTGCTTCACGGATCGAGGAAAGCGACGAAACGCCTCACGCTCGTGTCGCAATTCGAACCGGGGATCTCCGGAATGCAGGCGTTATCGCTTTAGCTAAGCTTTTCGGTGGCCAAATGTCAAATACTAGCCATACTGGCACAGAAACTGTAGACAGTGGTCAGGTGTCAAACAGCGGCCGCTACTGGCACAGAAACTGTAGACAGTGGTCAGGTGTCAAACAGTAGCCGCTACTGGCACAGAAACTGTAGACAGTGGTCAGGTGTCAAACAGTAGCCGCTACTGGCACAGAAACTGTAGATAGTGGTCAGGTGTCAAACAGTAGCCGCTACTGGCACAGAAACTGTAGACAGTGGTCAGGTGTCAAACAGTAGCCGCTACTGGCACAGAAAATGTAAACTGGTCAGGTCTAAAATTGTAACCAAGCATGAGAGGGATTTCTTCTGTTACATTCATCGAGTTCTAGGAGCATACAGTAATGCTCATAAATTTACTTAGTGGCCATGAATCATATATTGTCTGCGCACCCGCACAAAATCTGTATCAGTAACGAGCTGATAAGAGTCTTATGTTATTTAACAAAGCTGTTTCAAGTGGAGAGATGTGGGAGGTATAATGAGACATTATGATGATATGAGAAGGAGCGAGGAAGACCTCGCAGACACTAATTGTTCCGCTGTCATTCAAAGCAGGTACAAGTTTCATTACTAACCACTGAGCTAATCTGCTTACTTTATTTTAGGTATGAACAGTTCCTGGTGAAAGTCAATAAGGCATTCCGTAAAAACGATTGCTTCCCCAGTAAGAGAGGAACCAGGGAACAATCAGAGAGGCAATTAGTCCAACTACCCGTCAGATAGACAGGCTGTCGGTCAGTTAAAGCGTTTCGCTGACTGTTAATTGCTGGTATTTGGTAAGAGGTTAATTCGATACGCAACTATTGAACGTCTTGAAGTGCTTTTAGGGAACAATCGTGAGGAGTTTCAGAATCCCTTCTTGGTGAGCCATCTGGCCACTACTACTTTTGGAACAGGGTGTTTCTTCCAGCCGCACAGATGTTAATGTTTACTCCCTTGTTATTAACTTCGCCCTCCCGAACAGTGACAGTAATCCCATGTGTCATGCTGGGTTGTCTAAATACTGAAGGTCACAGTTGTGATACTGCAGTGTCATACAGTGGTTACCAGTTACCATTCTATACGTACTATACTCGTACTATACGAGTAACTGTTTGTCATCCCGCTATATGCCCTGGCAGCCTTACCGCCGTCCGTGAGCCGACTATCCAGAAAATGTGGGAGCCTCACAACCCTGTGGGCTTCCACGGCCTCTTTCAGGGACAACTTTACCCTTACCTTTAATCCGCTATATGCCAAGAAATCAACGCTGAATTTTTGCAGGATTTGAGTTTCGAGCGGTGGTTACGAAGAGTCCTGCTCCTCAGATGTAACGCCGTGTGGGCCGTTGAAAGTCAAAGGTGGCTCAACGGACTAGAAGGCGACATATCCCAGAAGATATGACTTTTCAATGAGGAACTTCTTTATTACATTATTTTATAATGCTATATCAACTCGCAGCCGGCCATTGTGACCGTGAGGTCTAAGGCATGAACTCTCTTCGCCCGCTCAAACACTGGGGTCGTGGATTCGTATCCCACTCGAGGCATGTATGTCATTGTGCGTTTATTCTGTGTTTTTGTTGTTCTGTGTGTAGCTAGAGGCCTTGCGACGGGCTGATCCCCCGTCCAAGGATTCCTATCGAATGCGTACAGATTAAGAAACTGAGAAAGCTGCCAGGGCCCAATAAGGGGCTGTAGATTCCCACCGCGGCGGCCCGGGTCAGGTCATGTGGGATTTGTGGCGAACAAAGTGGAACTGTGGCAGGTTTTCTCCGAGTATTTCGGCTTCCCCTCGCACTTCACTGAGTGCTCCACAGTCATCATCTATCATCTGGGGCTGGTACAGTAGTCCAAACAGTGGCCCCAGTACGAAGTGGACTCCGTTTCACCCCATAAGGAGTAAAGGGGCTGTAGAGCCATAATAGAATAGAATATCATCTCCCGAGTTTACGCGCAATCGAATGAGAAGTAGGATAATTGGCAGGCCTTCTTATTAGGCCTACTCGTGGACATATAGTCGAAGAGAGAGTCATGATCGATTTTAAGTTACAATTCTTATATTCGTCTCTAATAGCGGAGAACGTACTTCCCTCTTGTAACTCAGAGTCATGATGAGATACAGATCGTGCAGTTCACTATGAAGTTCTGCTATACGCGTCAGTGCATTATTCACCACCTTTTAATATTTTAACCGTGTGAATGGGGCCACCTGACCGTCAGTGATGCGGTTGTCGTGCGCTGGTTCTACTGTTCTTACAATCAAGTGGCCGCTGACAGTCGCCACTGGACTGTAGAATGGTACCAATAAATACTAGATTTCTTAAAATTTGTGTCACAATAATTATCGTAAAAAAGAAAAAGACTGAGGAGAGGGTACAAATATAACGATGCAAAGTCAAAGGGCAAACAATTTTAATTTAACTGGAAAGTCATGTTGGCAGCATTAAAAAAAAATGTTAGTGATGTTCCCTCAATTGGACCCAGAAAATTTTCATTGTCTTCTAAGCAGTGATTTTGACATGCGTGCGTCATTGATAGAGTGCCCCTAGCGACATCTGCAGTATGTCATCCGGATTTGTGGTTAGATTGCGAAAACTAGTGACGTTTAGGGGCAAGTGACAGTTCAGTATTGCGATAAAACTGTAAGGGGACACTTCACGATGGGTGGAACATCAGAATCATCAGTGTGAATTTCGATTTAGTGGATCCACCACTGATGAGATGTCAGATACTGAAAGCAAAAGGAAGGTGCAACAGGAGAATACAGCAGCTGTTTAATAACTTCAAGAAATCCTGTAATTCTGTTAAGAGGGAAGTACTGTTCCCCTGCAGCACTGTCATTAAACTGAAACTGTAGTCGCTCAGCTAGCCATAAAATTCTCTGCCTCAATAAAATCGGTTTAAGCCGTAGGTAGCACACACTATATTACGATACACAAATTATATATGAAACTGCTTCAGTGTGACAGAGTGCAGTGTGATTCTGTGTTGGGATTTTTTACAGAAGATGTGTACTTGCAATGAATGAAAACTATTGCCAATTTGTTATGAAAAATTACTAAGAATGTGTTTGGAAAATACAGTATGAAGTACTGAAGTATAAAAAAAGCTGGAACCCCTTTTCTATATTAGAATAGAGTCACCCTTCTCGAACAGCTCGACCTTTCAGGATTGTGAAAATGGGTGTAGCAGCCCTGGGGCCAGATGTGGAAGTTTTGTGTGACGCGAATGTAAACAGTATCCTGGCGTCTGGGAGGATGAAGTAGATGAGAACGGGGCAGGAGACTCGAAATTACTGCCACTAAATGCTGCCCATTATCGCATTACTGAAGTCTGATTTCTCGTGTCTTTTTTTAATTTAAAGGAGGTATACATGGCTTCGGTGAACGGAGAAGTTCATGGAGGTAGGCCTAGGCCCACTGGGGCTGTAGTGCCAAGAAAAAAAAATACATGGCTTCGAATGGAAGGTCGATTGTAAATGATAAATTATGAACGTATCCAAACGCTTTCCGAGAGGAATGACCAAGATCTACCAACACAGTATGTACAGTCTTAACTAAACTGCATATAGCAATCATTTCTGTGAAGCTACTACCTCTCAGATGGTTCAGAAATTCTCCACTTTTCGTGGAACACTGCCTGCTCGCAAAGCCACCACCACTACACCCTAATCATGTGCCAGATGGATACAATCCACAACCTTATTCTTTAGTGTACATTTTTTATTCCTCCGTCTACTGCTATGTCTCCCAAGTGATCTCTCCCCTTTTGGTTTCTCGGATTGCTGTATGCATTTCTCATCTTCACCACACATTGCGCACATCCCGTCCAACTCAGTGACCCTGATTTATTCTCTCTAATAATGTTCTATGAAAGCAGGCCTATAAAGAACCCATCACAGTCGTCGCGCTGTCTAAGGCATGAACAGCCTTCGTCCACTCGAACATTGGCATCGTGGGTTCGAATCCCACTCGAAGCATGGATATCTGTGTGCGTTTATTCTGCGTTTGTATTGTTTCGTGTGTAGATAGCGGCCTTGCGACGGACTGATCCCCCGTCCAAGGAGTTTTACCGAATGTGTATAGATTAAGAAACTGAAAAAGCGGCAAAGGTACACAAGGGCTGCACAGCCTTAGATAGACAGACATATAAAAGTATGAAATCCCTTTTTTCATATTGTAAAATGGAGGCGTTTCTAGGAAACGAATTGGCAAATACTTTGTTGAGGAGAGATTGATTCCTGGAGACCAACTCGTTGTGGAACACGTTTTCCATGAACACGAAAATGAGAAGTTGTAAACAGTTGGAAACCAGACCGTTGCTACAAAATTAACACATGTTTCTGCAACAACGGTAAGCACAGTATAACAGAGGAACTGTTGGGGGTGGTGACTTACATGCCGTCCTCCCCGAAGTTACAAAGGAGAGACAGTAATTGATTCGTCATTCGCGATTCGTAGGTGAGTCGTAAGTCCTTCATAAAGCAGAAGTGAGTGACTCGT